TTTTGACTTTATCTAAATACCAGTATCTGTACAATACTTTGTCCATTATGAACTTTAAAATAGCTGTACCGATTTCAAAAAATACTGTTAAAATTGAATAATAATTCAAGAAGTTTCTATTTATCCATTATCACCAGTCTATAAATGCCCCCACTGCTGGGGCTCAGGCCTTCCCTACGGATGAAAACGAATTGAATTGGGAGAATGTCATGACCCACCACAAGGGCCCATTGCAGATTCGTGGATATTAACGACTGCAGATGCAGCCGGCACCGACGGCTTTACGTTCCATTCGAAGCACGGAGGATTTCAAGATAATAAATTTTGGTCAGCTCTTCATCTAATTATTACAATTGATCAATTGTTCATTCACATAGCATATTGATAAAAGGGAAATTCATAAAAAAAATCCAAAACCAGGCATTGCAGTTGTGATGTTCCTATCGTTAATGTCGTACACGAACCTTGATAGGTCAGTTAAACATTAACTCATACAGCCTTTTGTAAAATTATTTTTTTTTTATTGGTGTTTTTAAGCCAATCGAAATACACCTATGGAACAAATAAGAGTTTTTGTTAAATTTCTAATCTATCACGTAACCTACGTACAATATAAAATCTTTTTAAATAAAAATAAATTGCTATTCATTTTGTTGCTAAAACTCGAGAACGACCGACTCAGCTGATTTTGATTTTGAAGTCATTGTCTTAGTCCAGGGAATGTTTAAACGATGAAATGTGATACGAATTACACCAGGCCATCTGTTCGATTATAAGCTTTAGTTAAGTTCATTACTAAAAAACTTCAATAGCGAAAAAACCGCAACTAAAATTTGGTGTTATATGATGTAGTTTCCCGTAGGTGAAAGACTTTTCATGATCGGATCGGTATTTCCAAAAATTACCCATACAATATTTTCCAGTACAACCTTATGATTTTATGATGCATTAATCAAATATAATATTATTATTATATATTATAGTATAGCTGACTTTAAACTTGCATAAAACAGAAATTAGTCGCGTATTAACGCATACATCCATGGGATGCATGATGGATCTTCCGTTAGATCTGCACCGACCCTTAGTTTCAAGTTAAAGTTACTTATTATAACGAAAGAAACAACAAGTAATTCAATATATTATTTAACTTATACATCATTAATTATTTACAATACTTTCTATTAATTTGTTTAAGCTTAGTTTTATTATTTAATTTCATTAAATACTCGTTAAAACACCTTTGGAATTACGTTACGACACATTGTAATTTCATTTGCCATTAATCAGTTAGTAAATAATGCATGCTAGTCTTAATTATTCTACATTACATTTGTTAATTAACGAACTTTGATACGCGATACAATTTATATCAAATAAATTTGTAAAACTTTTTTCTAATGGTAGCAATTTTGTTGCACAAACAAGACTTAATTTAGTTCTAAACCTGTCAAACTGCATTTGTCGACATTTATGATTTATATTTTCACTATGCCTGTTAAAAACTGGTTAATTTCTAATGCCAATTAACGATCCTACAACGTCTTAAAAGGAGTCAAATCTGATTTTAATAAGTTTATTTGAACAAAAAATATTTGCATTTCAATTAATACTAATTATTTAAAGAATCTAAAAACTTTTGTAATCATAAGATTATCTCTTAACGTACACAATGACGTTAAGTATTACGATTCGCCTCCAATGTTTATTCAGTGAGTTGAGGGGCAATCTTCATTAACTTTTATTCAGGTTCGGCTATCCGCATCCCATTTTCATTCCGAGCCATTGTTGCAATTTTATCATCCGCAAAAAACAAATGAAAGTAACACAATGCTCTCGTTTTGTTATTGGTTAAATAACGCTGCTTTCTGACTCCTGGATGTCATCCAATTATAAATGTGTACCACTTCAGTGCTGGAACAAATTTGACGAGTTACATTTTTACCAGCATTTATTAATTTGCAGTATATGTTAGGATCTCGTTGGTGAAGTGGACAACCGACTTGGTCTCCGATACAGTTGTTAAGTTGTGATATTCCTATCAGCAAGTTTTGCAAGGGCCGGTTATAGGATGGGTAATGTTATCATACGTCCTGCTTTGGACGGGATTGTCCCGCTATCAGGTTGTTCGTCCCGCTGTCCCCAAAGAGAATAAAATATCCCGCTTTACCAACAAATAATAATAATAACTTAAACCTTTATGTACCTTCTTAGTTATTTTCCTACATTTTTAATGTTTCATTAAAATCCGAGGGGGAGGGCGTGTCAATGTGAGTAAGACACAACTACTCGTATTATGTCATATTTTAAACCATAATTTGTATTTAGCTTTTAATTATGGCATTTTACATCGATATAGGTATTTTTCTATTTATATGCAAAATTCCGTAGGCATCCCATTTTGACACGAAAAAAATGATCACATTTTTTTCACCCATCCTGGATAGGTGACCAATTTATTACCTCGAGAAGGCACGTTAGGAAGGCACGTTAAGCCGTTAGTCTAGGCTGCATCTGCAGAAGTTAACACATAACAATGTGCACTGGAGCCTCGTGGTGGGTCCTGGCTCATTCTCCTTATTCGATTCTATCCATAGGTATTATAAAGTTGAATCATCATAAATTATATTATTTTTTATTTTAGATTTATTTCTCTTAAATGCAAAAATTACTGAACAGATTTTAAATAAATTCGGTGATGATAATTGTAAACCTGAATATAGGCTACTTTTACTACAAAAGGCATGTTATGACGCCATTCTATGCTAATATTGCAGTAAAATACATGTCCACATTGGACCCGTGTGGTCGGTTATGGCCCGTTCTCCCTTGAAATAGGCCGATAAAAATAAATTAAGTATTGAAATATTACTATGCAAACAAAGCTTTTGTTCGTAATAATAAAAAAAAACATTCGTTTTTGAAAAAGGTCCAGTGATACATACATGAACTCTTTGAAACTCTTTCAATGACAAAATTGCAAAAGAAGCAGGTACAATACTAACCTATTGTTTAATAACAAAACCATCTTACCGCCCTCATATCGGCTCATAGTCATTGAGGTTTTGACATAAAGCTGATTTTCCGGTGGCAAATGATTAACCAAAAGAATTTCACCGTAATTAAGCCGATTATTATATAAATTAGCACCTGTCTTTACTTGTTATTAGTTGTCTTTCACGCTCGGTGGCAGTTAGTGTTCGATTGTCAAAAGAGACAGTCGTTGTTTTATAAAATTAATATTTAGGTAGTGGTGGATATTAAGTTCTGTGAAATTATAAAGATAGTGGAATGATTCTTGGAGTGTTTTCAAGCGGCGCTTAATAAGGTATTACAGTCTTTTCATATTTAAACGATGTAAGAAATTGTACCTATTGTTCTTATGTTAGAAGTTACAAATTCGAGTCCCGAGATGAACAAAGTTATTATAATATTATGTTCATTATCAACTCCAATCTATTAGCTTCCACTGGGCTCTTGGCTTGGGCTTATGCCTTCCATATGAATACAAACGAAAAGGAATAATATTATTTTACTTCTACAATACTTTTGAATAGGTTTTGGGGACTTATTATAAACTATTACTTTGTATATTTAATAAATCACAAATACTATAGCAAATACAAAATACTTAATACTTAAATAATACCTAAAGTTGCCGACGAGTATAATTATGAAAATGTTTAGTAACTTAATATAAACTAAGCGATGTATATGATGTAGTATAATATTTATTTATTTATATAAGCGCATTTCACTCCAACATTAGAAAAAACTGTAGTTCAATCCCAAATGGGGTAGATATTTCAGATTACCATAAAATGTCTATCTATATGTTCACGCCGTATGCTTCATCCACTTTCATTGCTCTTTTCACACATACTCGCCGGTTTTTATGGCTTCTGAAATTACCTAACAGTACGTTGATTCGATCGTGAAAGATGTGGTTTGACCTTCGCCTTCTGCATCTTCCACTTTCTTTTCTGTTGATTTTTACACCGACGCCATCTTTCAAGTCAACTCTCTTTGTTATCTGAAAATGTCACATTTGGAAAATAAATTTCGATTTCAACTTCCCACAGAATAAGGTTTGTTATCGATTGGAGAATTATCGATATCTTGATTTCATGTTAACTGTATCTACATAACATTTCCCAATCCTTTGTGATAATATAAGTCTTGGTATTCTTTTTTATTTTCAAATTCAATAATCATTAAAAATATTTCCACTGAAGTTCGTGTAGATATTTGTTGAAAAGTAAATAGGAATATCGGGTTTATACAAAAAAATTCTTGTTTGTTTCAGTTAGATTCTGCAAGAAAATAAAGTGGTAAAATAGTCAACTATAAAAGCAAATAATTATTCAGCATGGGTGGGAGTACTGTCAAAATCTCCAGGCCTATTAAATTGTATTTGTTTTAATAATGTAAATTTTTGTTACTCCAAATACGTAAAATACTTAATAAATCGAGGTTTTAAAACGACGTTTTCATTAAATTTTCAAATAAGAAATATTTCGCGTAATTAGTACACCTGCCATAAAACTAAGCAAAGTGTCGTTCAAAAGTACAGCCGATTTGTATACTATTCAAAAACAAAAAAGTAACCTAGTTCCCTCAATTGGTTTCCGATATAGCGTGGCACAATGTCGTGGGTATGTTCCATAAAGGTGTCGAACAGAAGGTCATACGTACCGAATGGTACAATAAAACTTTGTTATTATACATCTGCGACCGTTGTAACAGATAAACACAGCCGCGGTATATACATTAATAAAGACTATGCACGTGTTAATATAATCCCTACCGTTGACAATAACATTGACAGTATTCATATAAACAAATGGAACTTGGTCAAACACTCGCTGTATTAGATTCTATTAACTATTGTCACTTGCACTATTTAGATATGACAACATTACCTATACTACTTAGTCTTTCTTGGTGATTCTCGTGTTCTGTTAAATTGGTCATTAAATTGAATCGTGCTAATTGATTTCCTTTTTTATTATTATCAATACCACTTTTTATGATATGAGTTGTGCATCAAACGTTTTTAATTACGACGCACAGTAGTTAATCACTTTTTCATGAGTTTAACGACCACTCAATTGCGTGTTTCGTTTCTTCTATTAAAACATGATGAATTAACTTCGGTTACGCAATTTTTGATGTGGATTTAATGGCCTATTTTGTTTCAGATTTGTTCCAATAATGTCTGCACATAAAGACGAAATCATGCAACCAAAGACATTACAAGAAGCTATTAATATAATCAAGTTTTTAAAAACAACACACAAAGAAGAAATAAATAAACTGAGAGAGTCATGTCTAAAACAAGCAACTATAATAAAGAAGTTAGAAGATAATAGAAAAAAAGAGTTAGAATTCCTATCAGCTGAAATACGAAAATATGAAGTGAGTTTAACTTTAAGATCAGATACAGTTAAGGAACAGTTAGCCCAAAAAGATGAAATCATTCAAAAGCAAGCGGACACAATAGAAGAGCTCGAGAAGAAGATCAAACAGCATAATCATGTCGTTCCAGAAATTGTTATCGATTCAAATTCTGATTCTGGTGTTGCTATGGAAAATGATGAGAAAACCTCTAAATCGGAGGAGATCAAAGTAGAATTAAAAGCAACCCGAAAATGCAGCAGAAGATTTGCTGATCCCATTAGTTTTTTACGTAGAGTTGACTTCTCGCCAATGAAATATAAGCCGAATAGAGAAACCACAAAAAAGAAAGAAGAGAAGAAGAATCAACTAGAAGTTCCAAACCCTATGAAAAGAGTTTTCACACGTCAACTGAGTAACGAAAAGCCTTTAAGTGATGAAGATCACACATTAGATGATTCAATATTTTCAGATGGTGGTATGGAACCTATAGTAGTGAGGCCAAAGAAATCAAATGATAGTATGAGTAATCACTTAACTGATGAAGAAAGTGAAGACACGAGTGAAGAAATATTTGACAGAGTGATGGCGAGAAGCAGTATAAGAAGATCTGTTAAAGCTAATCCTAAATACAAGAAGATAAATCGATCTAAATCAAAACTTCTCGAACAAGTCAAAGTAAATATAATGGATTGAATTTTGATCCTGTACATTGTTGCATTTATGTATATTTTTGAAATTGTAAAAAAATCTTGTGTCATTCGATAAAATATACCAAAGTTTTTACAATCTAAACGTTTTTGGATTCTTCTTTTGCTAGACATTCTCTAAGATTCACCATTTTTTATTTATATATAACACACATAGCATACGGGTTATCAAGTAAATGTCAAACACCACATTGAAATTACCTGCAGAAAACACATCTTTTTCCATGACTTGATGATTAAGATATTAAATTGTACTAGAGCATTAAGCCAAAGAAGATACACCAACAAGAAGTAGAAATTATACAAAAATAGATGAACATAAATAGTTACAAGATGGGCACAGCAGCTCTTATAGATTTTCTTGGATTTGTAATCATATTAGATGACGATCACCGTGACACGATGTCGCCATTTCTAAGATTTTATATATCTAATAAACTTTTATATATTGTCTCAGGTTTGCATGTTGTGGTACTTTTAATGTTTTGGATTTCTAATATTAAAATATATTCATATTTTCTTTTTAACAAGGTTTTAAGAAAATAATTATTTTAAGATATTTTTATTACATATACAACAACAAAATTAGTCATGGATTCATTTCAAAATGTATATAATTTATACTTTATCGATTTAAACATTTACAGGCAAGCATAATCTCTATACGAGAACCATTACTAAAAAAATTAACATTTTACAAAGCATCATATCTAATCACGACTAAGTAAAATCATTTTAAACCATTCGTTTGAAAGAAAATTGTTATATCACCTCGATAAATAATACCGTAAGAATTATATTATATTATTTATCTATACTAATACCATTCTTACTTCTTTTTGTTTTTAAGCTTTTTAGATACTAATCCGTCCATGAAAATTCTACATCATACTTAGGCGACACAGGCTACTTTTCACGCGGATGAAATCGCAGGCATAGCTAGTATTATTCTAAATATATATTCGATTAAAATACTTCAAAATGGACTCTTTAAAAAGCAGACGGAAACGAATAGATCAAGTATTCTTATATAAGCTGGCGAATGGAATCTTAGACTGTCCCGTAGGTACTGGTGAATAAATTAAATTTTAATGTCCCTTATAAACTTGCGCGTTGGTCCAGATACACCTTATTTTCCGCTAAATTAACCAAAAGTAAACTAGGATATCATTCTTCACTAAACAGATTGCAAAACCAATATAGTAGTATATCAAAAAACAAAGAATTTGACATTTTTAGATTTAAATTGTCAAGCTTTAAAAAACAGCTCAACATCATATGTCAATGAAGAGTTGTCATCTATGGGCGCACACTGTTCCGTTATTTTTATCTGTTTCGTAACATTTTAGCTTCGAGTCTTAAAATCTTAAAATTGGCATTGTAATAATTAAAAAATCTTAAAATTGGCATTATAATAAATAAAATAAAATAATAAATATTTAATTAAATGTGTAGCTCGATGTCAATCGCAATATATTTTATTAACCATAGTCACTATTAGATTTAACCTATTAAGTTTCTTTACTAATAATTTATAAAAGTATGTTATGCTGTAATTACATTTAAGCTTGTTTATTGTTGGGGCCACACGCTTCCAGGTTACTTTTTCATATGCATGTCGTGGTAACCTTTAATTAAGGCAGCACATTGTCTTTGTTATTTATTATTAATTTATTTGCATGTATAGTGTTTGACCTTGTTGGTTGCTCAAATAAATAAATAAAATAAAAATAAAAAATAAATATCAAAGGAGATCAGAATCGATAGAATCGTTAGTCACCTTATTAATATAAATACCTTGCCAAGACATCGGTATTGATTAAAGAGCTATCTCTTTATGACTATTCATTGTATGACTATTCATACAATATCACAGAGACCCACATATTTATAAAACATAAGCCAGGTAATATTTAAAACAAGAAGGTTTCTTTAAAAAAGTCGGCGGTCCTCACTGAAGAAAAATATGCGAGGTCGCACCAAGATGGAATGTACACATTAGACCCGGATCAAAGCCCCGAAGGGTGGCAGTGAAAATAAATCATGCCCGATCTTGGAGCCGACAAATAAATAATAGCAGACCATTGGGTACGACTCCAAATATTTATATTGTATGAGACGGTATGAACAATACTACTAAATCAGTAGGCGTATTCACTAACTAAACTGGCAATCTAAAGTTGTAATCACCGAAAAGAGTGACAAAATCACCAATGCGTATTTCTATCAATGGTTCAAAATTCTGAAATGTCAATATCGGCGATCACCACTGAACTAAATTTTGACACTTGATTTTGTACTGGTAAACTGTTTTCGTATTCCGTAAGCACTAGTGACCATAAAAATGATATTCAGTGAGTGATTTCAGGGATTACTGTTTCGTTGAAAATTAGTTGCAGATTCCAAAAAACCGCGCAATGGCCGGTTGCAAACAGAGCTCTGTTGCGAACAAATTATTTCGCGTGTCCTCAGAAGTTGCCAGAGTTACGGAATAAGTGGACTGACTTACCTTACTATATGCATGTCCATTGTTTTTGCGGTAAATCAATCTGGAACTAATTCGATACCGGCTATGATTAATTACACCAAGTTCCGGGTGAGGAATGCGATGAGGATCAACGAAATAGTAATCTTTCAATTGCACGTGTCGGCGAAAATTAATGTTGTTACATAGAGAATTTATTGACACATCATACGTCCGAAAATTATTTTAACTCGTGTAAACGGTGAATAGACTGTAATAAACAAGTGATTAATTGATTTCTGACAATCTACGAGTATTATAGCGTCGAAGGTTTTCTGCCACGTTAAGTAAACAAGATACACGGTATATTCGATTAAGACACTAAGTTATAGTGTAAACGCTTTCATAAATAGCAACTTTATGAAAGCGTTTACACAACACATGAAATTATCGTGCCTTCATAGACAGTGGAAGGTATGGTTTACCTTAAATGGAATATAATCTTCTTCTTCTTAATGGTGGGCTGTTCCCGCACGTTACCAAGTGTCTTTTTGCGTACAACAGTGGTGGCCTTAGTCCTGCCATTCCTGTTCCCCCAAGAAGAATTGTAGTCTCTTGATAATTTAATATGTTTCCAGTAGTGTCCCTGGGCTGCCCATGTGCGCAGTCTGTTGTCTGGTCACTCATTTGCAGTGCAGCAGAAGGTAAGCGCTAGTCTCTTCCACCTACACAGGCACTGCACAGTGGATGGTTATGGAATATAATCCTTTATATGAGTATATAAAAATTCATTCTTGATTATTAAATATGAATTAAGACTCAGTCATTATAATGCGGCTGCACATCAGGTTACCACCATATGTTAAACCTAAAAAGTTTTGTCCTCTACCCTCAATGTATTTAGGTTTCAAATCTTGACAGTTTTGCATAAACTGACTAGTTATGAACGGTACAATAAGAACTAATGTATCTCCAAACTAATAAATATATATATTAATATACTTATATATAAAGTAAGTCTTCAAACACCAACCAAGCAAACAAAACAAAACGATGAGACTAATACTCATATTGAATGTCATGTACTTTAATAACCTCTCGTTGCTTTTAGAAATTAATCGTTGTTCTGTTGTAAGGATTTGTGGGTTTATAAAGCTTATGGACTGATTGGGTCCTCCCACACATCCTGTAGGTTTATTTTTATATTATTCCTCTATGCTTCTAGCTTATGATTTAAAGTCAGTTGCGTATTTACTAATATGACTCTTTGTATGAAAACAAAGTATGTATGAAAAGCATGAAAATTTATACTCACCGGTAAAGTTGGCTAAAAAGAGAAACAATCGCACAGAAAACCAAATTAAAGTAACGTTTTCTAAACTGAAATTAGTCACTACAGGACCTCATTTTATGGCCATCAAAATTTATAATCATATTCCGAATAGCTTAAAGAAAATAAAAGAAACAAAAAAGTTTATTACAGAGCTGAAAATATACTTAATAAGTAAATGTTATTACAATATTGAAGAGTTTCTTAACGAGAAGTAACAAACTGTGCCCAAATAAAAAATAAAAAAATAAAAAGAATAATACAAAAAAAGTATATATGAATAAATGTATCAACTATGTTTAAGGTTTATAAATTAAGTAATTAATAAAATAATTATTAAATGAATTAATAAATGAATGTATTGTAAATGTATTAATCGAGTTTAAAGTATATTGGATATGTAAGTAAAATAACTATTAAATGTAATAATAATCACTAGAACAATAATATATATAAGTAAAAATGGCAATAGTTGCCCCTCAGTATTGCTGTGCCCTTACAGGGCGTCACTTGTACAAAATTAATTTATAACATCTGTATGACCTGTGACTTGCATTGAATAAATTGAATAAACGAATTCTACTGAAACTTCCAATTAATAATAAGATAAAGAATAGATAATCTATCAATATTTCGGTAATTATATTATTATAATAGGTACTTCTCTTGCAGAGTATGCAAGATTTATAGAAATAAACACAACTCTGATCTATAATTATTAACATACTCTCACATAATTATCTATGTATAAATAAAAATGAATTTCCGGTCGTTAGTCTCGCTAAAACTCGAGAACTGCTGAACCGATTTAACAAATTTTAGTCTTGAAATATTCGTGAAAGTCCAGGGAAGGTTTAAACGATGACAAAATATAACAAAATTGCGAGTATAATAATAAAAATGACAATCTGATTTTCCCATACAAACTATTCTTAGCTCTCAAACGTTGAGTTGACGAGCAGTATCGTGTAGTGGTCAGTTTACGCAATATTTTTCAATAATAATATGGTTTTTATTAAGAGGTAAGTGATACGAAGTTCACCGGGTCAGCTAGTTAACTATAAAAGTAACAAAAAGCAAATTGTAAATATGACAAATATACCTTAGAATTAATTATTATAAGGTATATTTGTCATATTCCCATTAACCCTTAGACTTAGCATGGGTAAAAATAACACAGATAATCGCCTACAAAGTAGACATAACAAAATTAGTTTTACCGTACCTAAGTACATACTAAAAATAGCTTTTAGCGTATTTTTTAAGAGTTCTAGATAAATACTATTTTTCCTAAACCAATAAAAAACTAAAGCACCGCCCACACTAGTGTTTGCCAGATAATGTTCTAAAAAGGAAATTGGACCATGTCTGGCAGTAAATTATACAGACATCTA